CGCCCAGTCAGCCATCTAAAGGGTCACTCCGCACATAACAGGCCTGTCAATCGATGGCGGAGAATTAAACCCCCGCTTACAGTCTATATCTCAGGGTGCCAATTGGTGTGATCTCTGGGAATGAAAATGGCGAGGAAAGTCTGTCACGCGCCCAGAAATCCGTAACCCGAGAGTCTGGCGCTGAATCAGAGTATCAGATGGACTCGATCTGCTTGCGCACCTTCTCCAGGGCCCTCCAGTCCAGCTTCCTCCGCCGCCACAGCACCACCAGCGACATGACCACGGCGGCCGCCATCATGATCCCCACAAACTCCCAGAAGACCCTCTTCTCCTTGGCGACCGAGCGGCAGCTGGAAGAAGGCGGAGACAAAAGTGAGCAGTGGTTAAAGCAGAACCCAGCCGCCAAACCCTTAGGGTTAGCGCTAGGGTTGAAGCTAGGGATAGGGTTGAAGCTAGGGATAGGGTTAGGGCCAGGGATTGGGCCAGCATTAGGGATAGGGTCAGCGCTAGGGAAAGGGTCAGCGCTAGGGAAAGGGTCAGCGCTAGGGAAAGGGTCAGCGCTAGGGAAAACGTGTGTGAGTTGAGGAAAGTGGTAGCGCTAGGGAAAGGGTCAGCGCTAGGGAAAGGGTCAGCGCTAGGGAAAGGGTCAGCGCTAGGGAAAGAGTTATGTCATCCAGACTAAATTTACATATGCCCTGCCCCCAATCCCAATGGCCCCGCCCCCAATCACAACTTCTTCCCCCTCAACGGATGGATTGTGCTCCCACCTGCCCCCCCATCAGACATGGCACCCTGCCTTCCATCCATTCACATACAGTGTGCTCCCCACCCTCCCCGCTTGGACATGGCATGCCCCCATCAGCAGACACGGTGCTCTTCCTCCCGCCATTTTAAAGAGAACCTGTCAGATGTAATAGAAGAACAGCAGTTGGCTCTGCAGCCGTCATCCTTCTCTTACTACTAAGACAGCCACTGACCCGGAACAAGTGTTCAGTCAGAAGGTTCTGACTTATCCAGGGTCAGGAGCTCGCTATGCAGTGCGGTTTGGATGAGGACCACGTATGTAGAGGTGGGCGGGCAATGTTTCTAAACTGCTATCATGACAGGTTCTCTTTAAAAGGACAAAATCGTGTCCTGAGATCGGCAGCTCAGTTGTTCTGTTTCTGGGTGCGCCGTTGGGCAGAAGAGCTGACAGTCCACAATAACCCCTAAAGGCTCCATCGCTGTATGATGACTTCAGGACCACACCAGGCAGAGCTGAGTGTGCTATCCGAGCCAAAGATTGCCCCGCCCACATTCCACACCCACCAATACCGGAGATCCCCACCCCGTCTCACCTTTTGAATTCCACTTTGTTGGAGGGGCTGCAGCTGACCTCCTCGATGAATCCGGTGACTCCACACTCACCGACTGTTTTCTGGAAGAGAGAGAACACCCGTCATTGGGTGGGTGGAGCTGAGAGCTGGGGGAGGAGCTATGTGAATGGTGACAGGGGTGCTGAGCACCGATTGCAGCGCTGCAAATGCCAGCTGATCAAACACGGCCCCGCCCACGGCCCTACAGACCCTCCCCCATACTGGACCTGCAGTGCGGCTCTCTACTGTGATGGTGGTGCCACGAAGGGCCACTTACCGTCTCAAACTGGTTACAGTTGTAGCATTCTCTGGATATGGTGAATTCCTCCGTCCTCCAACACAGTGTCACCGCCGGGACATCTGCAACGCACAACATGGAGGAAGTGAGCGCGCACAGCGACCGCCAGAGACCACACAACACAATAAAGAGCGCCACACTTACCGGTGTCCAACTGCGGCCTGTCTTCCTGGACCAGAGATGACTCCGCCCACCTGAGAGGAAATGAACTATGATTACAAAAAAGTGAGGAAACCACTAATGGATGAGACACACAAGGGGGACACTGATAACTGTGACACACCCCAGCCACCGAGGGAGCACTAATCAATGTGACACACTACAGGCAAGGGGGGGGGCACACTAATCATGGAACTGTGACACACTCCAGCCACCAGGGGGATGTTAATTACTGTAACACACTTCAGCCACCGGGGGGACACTGATCACTGTGACACACTCCAGCCACCGGGACACACACACTAATCGCTGTGACACAATCCAGCTACTGTGAGG